TAGCACTATTCATGCACATATCACTTGACCTGCTGTAGGGAAGTCTGTACCTCCCAAAATGTTGAACTCCCATCACCCTAGATCGTTAATCACTTGGCTGGGGCTGATGGGAGTCTCATACTTTTAAAAGGCAAGATTTAAGGAAATCTACAGTAAAGCAGAAAATTAATTAAAGAAGCCATAGTCTGCACAGAAAATCTGAGTTTTCTAAGGAAAAGAAGCAACGTTTAACTCATTCCTAATTGCCAATGGTTCTTTCATTCACAGCTGTTTTTACTCCCTTTGGTCCCCAAGATGACTTTTGCAAGATAAATGGGTAGGAAACACCAGCACGATAAAAGCAGGGAGGGGAGAGAGAGAAAAGAAAAACTGCATAGAATATCCCCTCCTTTCTTCAATTATTTTCCAGTGCACAATTATCCTCTTCCCGTTAATGCCATCATGCAAAGGATAAAAGGCTGCCAAGACCCTTTCACACAAAGCGAAATGCATAGTTTGTTAACCAAACACATTTTTTTTCAGAGATAAGATGATCACAGCTGCACAAACTATTGGAAAAACATTAGAGAAATCCACATTTACGTTTGAGGCACAGGGATGACACTAATCATCCCCATGGGATGATATCAGCCAGTTTGGTTTAGCGATTATGGCACAAGGCTAGAAAATGGGAGATTGTCAATTCCACTCCCACCTTAGCCATGTAAGTCAACCCAGTGATTTTGGGCCACTCTCTCTCTCAACCCAATCCACCTCACAGGGCTGTTGTGGGAAAATAGGAGGAAAGGCGATTATTAGACATGTCTGCCACCTTGAGTTGTTTATAAACGTAATATAGGTGGGATATAAATAAATGCTTTATCTGTTCAATTTATTTGTGGAAATAATTCATGGAAAATATCAATGGCTCCAGCCCTTTTACCAAAGGCTAAAGAAAATACAATTATAAAATACAGATTTTGGTTAAAAACTGGAAGTAAGCAATGGAGAATCTTTCTTCCTATTAATTTGACCATTGCTGGATAAGTCTTGCTAGATAATTCTTTATCCCAACCAGTTTTTAATGTAATTTTATACTTCTTTTATTTTAGATAAAATAAAGCTTCAAACTCATGCAGAGATAATTTAAGAGTCTTTAGCACACCCGTCTAAATCCAAGTAAAGAATCTCATCTCTGCTATGAATGCCTTTTATGAGGATAAACAATTATACTCTCAGATAAAACTCCAGCACATTCTACCACCCAACCTGGACCACACAATCAACTTCAGTAACATACTTGACTGGGTTTGGGAAGCAAACAGGATAAGACATATTTAAGAAGTGGCTAGATGGCACCCCTTATTCAAGTCACTGCATCCCCTAAAGTAGCTCTCAGCCTTCCCTTCCTTTGATGTTGTCAGAGCAGAATTTAAAAAAAAAACAGATAAAAAAAACCCCACCTGTTTCCAACTTTGCTGAATAAGGATAAAAGGTAGCAGTCATGGCATAGGCATCGCTCTCTGTGGGTTTGGCTTGTGGCCACCACTCCCATCAAACACGTATCTCTATTCTTACAGTAGCTTCCCTGGCTCATCATTCCTAAATAGGTTTGCATCCTCTTTCCCAATAGATCAAGAATATAATTTCTGCAAGATTATTCAAATTGTAAGGCAATCTTAACTGAGTACTACAGAGAATCACCAATCCCCCCCCCTTGAAAGCCATGCTTTGAGTGTCGAATGCAGACTCTACCTCTCCCCCACCAGTGTGAAGCTCTTTGTTAAGTGAGTTTTGCCCCATTTTACGACTTTTCTTGCCACTGTTGTTAAGTGAATCGCTTCAGTTGTTAACTCAGTAACATGCTTAAGTGAAGCTGGCTTCCCAATTGACTTTGTCAGGTAGCAAAAGCTGATCACATGACCCCTGGACACTGCAACCGTCATAAATGTGAGTCAGTTGCCAAGCATCTGAATTTTGATCACATGGGGGAGCTGCAATGGTTGTAAGTGTGAAAAACAACCATAAGTCACTTTTTTCAGTGCTGTGGTAACTTTGAATGGTCACTAAATGAACTGTTGTAAGTCGAGGACTATATGTACTCTCATTGTGGGTTTTTCACTATTTTATTGCTCCATTATCTTACTTTTGTTTCCACTCTTTTCATTTCTTCCTTTTTATTGTTGCAAGCTGCTTAGAGTAGCCCCATAATGAGATAGGCGGCAAATTGGTTTAATAAATTAAAAATTAAAATAAAATGAATAGGTTAATGAAAAAGTAAAATTGCTTCATGCCTTTTCTCTGCTAGTGCATTTCATTAAAGGGTTTTTTTTTTTAAATGAAACAAACAGTAACTTGTATTTTAATGCTAACTGTAAAGAACCTTCCTTCCTCTGAAAGTAACTTAGAAATGCAAACAAACATTTCTTCACAGGTTAGTTTTTAACAAAGATTTATATTAAATGGCCTTGGAAAGAGGGGTAGAGCAATGTTTGTCCATCTCAACAACGTTAAAACTTGTGGACTTCAACTCTCTCACACATAGCTGGCTGGGGGATTCTGGGAGTTGAAGTCCACATACCTTAAAATTGTTGAGATTGAAAAATACTGGATTTGAGCAATCTCTCTCTTCCACTAGATCCAATTAGAATCTTAGATTGATATTCAAAATGCAATTATGCATGCATGCAATTGCTTCAGTTTACTTGCAATAGTTTTTACTTATCTAGATCTGAAATCCAAGGATATATCAACATATCTTGTTTCACTGGCTCTAAACTTTGCATATGCATGGCTAGATAACTCATATGATTATCTACTTTTGTAAACCATGTGACTTGTAGATAATTCTCCAGCAAGCCTCCATGAACAAGATAATGGCTTGGTGCAACTTCTGTTTTAGTCTGCAGAAGATTAGTCTAGGTTTTTATTTTATTATATTATTATTTTTAAAAAAACTGCTGAGCTGTTCCAAAGTGTTAATCTCCTCATTAAAGGATATAAAAGAACTTGGTTATCAATTTGGCTCCTTCTAGATGAGGGGTAATCCAGTACCAACTGTGTTGGAGGGGAATGAGGAGTGTTTAAATCTCACACATCTGGATTTCAGAACTAACATTATTCTGTTTCGATTCTTTTAACAAAGAAGATGAATATTGGTGGGGGGTAGCATTTCTAGGAACCTTAGTTTAGATTGTTTAACCATATAAATCACTTAAATAAACAAATCTTAATATATAAAGTATCAAAATAAAGAGTAAACAGTTCTCACTTCTAATAATATGCACCATGAAGTGTAAGAAAAGTCTTGATTTGGAAAAAAATATTTTATTTATTTAAGATATTGTAACTTAAAAGAAACCACAAAAACAATTCATTTTTCCTGTCTTTGTTCTAAATCATTTGCTGTAATCAGCAAATCTTAAGATCTCAGAATTCAAATCCAATTCTAAGCATGTTCAGGTTTTTTGTTGTTTTTTTTGCTCCTTTAAGGAAAAGAGGGAGGAAAGCAAGCATTTAGTCTTCATGGTTATGTGTGTGAAGTCCTCAACTTATAACCAGTTGCTTAGGAATTGTTTGAAGTTATGACTGACTTACAGCCTGAATTTGAAATTCAGACAACCATCCAAAATGTACAGCTGTTTGCAATGTCCTGCAGTCATGTGGCCAAGATTTACAACTTTTTTTACTAGAAAATGCCATTTATTCCAGTTTCTGGCAAAAAAAAAAGAAAGAAGAAGAAGCAGATTGGGGACAATGGGTTTGTTTAATGGCCATCACAAAAAAATAAATATATTTATTTTTTAAATATATATTTAATAAATATATTTAATAAATAAATAATAAAGTTTTAAAATTAGGGATGGTCACATGGTGATTTGCTTAATGACCAACATGACCTATGACCATAATTCCAGATTCAATTATGGTTGTGATTTTAAGGAACACCAGTGCATGTTTTCAATTCTATATCCTACCTCTTGCCGTCAATAACATTAGTGTGGTCTTTGTATTTTATACTAAGATTAGGAAATAAAATTCTATAATTACATGTTCTTGCTTAAGTTGGCACAATTTGGAGTTATAGAGATTTTCCAAGTTTTTTCATTAAAACCATGAAGTTTACTTTCAAAAATAAATGCAGTGTTCTTAGGATATTCATTTTCCCAGGCACAATAGCAAATTCTCAATTTTTAGGCAGTAGAGCTGCAAAAAAAGAAGTTATTAGCAATACTCTAGTTTAGCATTAACCAAACTGTGTTGGAATATCAATTGGGCTGACAAGTACAGTATTTACTTAACTTTTTTTAAAAAAAGAATTATACAGGAACATATACATGAATATGGAATTCCTTCTTCCACATTATACACTTTTTTCAAAAAAATATGACTGCTGATCAGCTGCTCACTTCAACTCCATTTTTGCACTGGTTTCGGAGAGCTCCACCAATTCCAGAGAAGCAGAGGAACAATATACATGCAAAGTAAACACGCAGATAGCCTCTGTAACCTTTTCAAAATGCCATGTCCCCAGATCCACACTTTCATGAACAAAATACAAAATCCATTTCCAAACTGCAATTAGCTACTATGTATCTTAATTGGGCACTTAGGGAATGGGCAGATTTGAATGTTTCTCATCCCAGGTTAATGTTCATCAAAATGGAAGAAAGAGCAGGAAGTAATGCAAACCAACAAGGTTCTAAGGCAAGTCCCATTTTCAAACCACCCTGCTTCAAAAGCTTTAAAGCAGGGAGGGGCTCCATGGGTTTTTGCAAGTGGGGGAAGCTCTGGTCAACAGTCATCACTCGAGAGGGCTGGAAAGTTTGAAGGCCCTTTGCCAAGTTCCTTTCATAAGCAAATACCAACACAATGATGCCATTCATATTCTTGAATTTACTCAGGCTCAGTTACACTGAAAGCAGATGGAAGCAAAAGGAAAGATACTTAAAAGTATGATGATAATGGGCATGACAAGGAAGGAGGCAGCAAACAAAGAAAGATCGGTAAGATAGCCTTACCTTCAGTCAGCCAAGTTTCCTGGAACTGGCTTAGATCAAGGAAGAGATCTGCAAGGAAAAGAGCAGAATGTGATATCACTGAACAGTAGTTCTGGAGAATGTTTGAAAGAAACAGTTAAGGCAGCATTTCTCAATCTTGGCAGCTTGAAGCTGGTGGCCTTCAAGTTCCAGAATTCTCCAGCAAGCAAGCTGGAGTTGAGGTCCATCCATCTCAAGTTGAGAAACACTGGGTTAAAGGGACATAGCAAGGAGGCCCAAATCCATTATAGAAGCCCAATATAATCTAAGGATGTCATGAAACAAAATAGTTTTGTTTCAAACCTTTAACCAAAATAGCCCCATCAGGAACAACCCTTAAGACATTACATTCTTAAATTCAGGGCATTTTATTCCAAGCTCACAATCCTAAAACATCCAACTCTAACCTGAGTAATAATGTTGTTTAAGTCCTCTCTGAAATGGTAATAAAAAGAGCTCTTTCCTCAACCCTAGCAGCTGTTTCTTCACAATTATTCTAGTCCCACAGGAAAAAAGGCTGGTCAGGTAAAACTGATTTTTCTAAACTAATCCATGTTTTCAGAACTGTCTCACTAAAATAGAAAGCAGCTATGCAGCCTGCAAGCATCCAATGCCTTAGTCACTGCAGAACTATGGAAGATTCATTTCAAAGCTGTTAAGAACAAACTTTTTCCAGAATTAAAAGGGAAAAAAAGAAAAGGCATTTCTGTCCCCATTGAACTCATTAAAAAATCCCAATTATCAATATTCAAGCTAAATAGAGAATCCCAATTATTAGTATTCAAGCTAAATAGAGAATGTTAACCTTTTAAATATTTTATATATGGTGGCTAACAGTCAGGAAGATGGAGGTTCTTAAGAGAATTCTCTTAGATTGTGGTCCAAGACTTTGTAGTATGGAAGCAAGACACAGTTGCTTCTCACCAAGAGGGTTCTGTAAAAAAAAAAAAAATCTGTATCCTCAAGGTGTAGCTCTCCCAAGACAAAGAGATGATCTCCAAGCAGTACTTATCCTGTTCATTAGGTAAGCATTGCAGCAATTATGACGTGCTCTCATCTAGGCTGCAGACTAAGATTATGCAAAGAAGGAAGGTACATCTTCTGAAACATCGTTTTTGATTATTCAAGTCAGTTTCACAGTTATCCAAAATGAAAGAACCAAAAATGGTCTTTTTTGGATCATGTGCTGGACATTAATCTTTAGGGAATCTGGGTCCATGATAAAACTGTGTTATTCCCTGTTTGCAAAAAAGAAAGCATGATTGCACTGGGACATCATTGCATTCCCAAATCAGGTTGCGGCTTCAAGCTAGAAAACTCTGGAACAGGATCGCCTCTGATACCCTCCATATCTGCCCCTGCCCCCCCCCCCACACACACACACCTTCTGAATCTGGGACATGGGGCACACCTGGGTCCATAGATTTCCTCCGTGAAGCCATCACAGTTCTGCTGTCCATAGTTCCATTCCCTGTTGGCTTCTGTAGGTAGACAAACAACACTAACGTTAATATAAGACAGACCACTGTACTGGGTGCTCAAACTACTGCTCAGAAAAAAACAGAAGCCTTATAGGGCAAACTCCCGCCCCCCACTAACCTGTGTGTAAGGCACTTGTTGGTCCAAATATCCTTTCATCCTCCCATCAGTCATGGATGCAACTTTCTCAAAGGCATGGAGGACAAATGAAATATCAACCAGGTAGCTGTAAAGAAAGAAAGAAAGATGCATCAATAGACTGAAGTTTTTAAAATGCTACTTGTGATAAGTTCCTTATTGCATGCAATTTCCAGCAGCATCTGAAAGAAGGGTCTCTTAAGCGGATTACCAAGGCACGGGTCCTTTTCCCCTGACCCTCCTGTTACTCTTGCCTGTTGGAATGCCAAAACTGAAAAGGTGCTCCCCTCCTCAGAAGAAAAGTCCTTTAATCTGACGCTTTCAGATCTGTTGGGATTACAACTGCCCACATTTCCAGCCTTTAGGAGCCATGTGCTATCTTGAAGGTGGATGCAATGTACAGCAGGGGATGGCATAACGAAATGCCTAATGAAGGAGGGTGGATGCAATCCTTAACCGAAAGTCTACTTTCAAAATTCAGATCCTCTGCAAACCTTCTCACCCTTCTGTGCTCCTGCAGTGTCCTCCTTCCCCTTCCTCCTTTTCTGGGTGCTTGGATATTATTATTATTATTTGCATCTTTAGCCCTATAATTTCCTCCACCCCGCCCTCAGCCTCTGCTTTGCCCATCCCACTGGACAGGAGTTTAAATCCTACCAACAACTCCTGCCCGGTTTTTCTCCTCTTCGCAAGTTCAGGAAGCCAATCTTCATTAATCACCTCCCTATGCATCTTGTATTGGGGAGGAAGCCCCATTGACCTCAGTGAGACTTCGTTGCAATATGGAATAAGATTAGGTTTAAATCTCTCCAGCTTCAGATACCCCTCTGTTTGTTTCGGCTGCCCTTTTCCCCCCAGGCTTCGACCTTTAGATCTTCTTATTTGCCCGTGTTTGCGATATGATTCTCTCTACAAAAGCAGCCCTGCTTCGCCAGCACCCACTAGGCCCCATAGCTCTTTTTTAAAAAAATCCTCCTCGTCCGTCGCCCCCTCCCCAACTTTTTTAAAAGTATGTGAAATAAAGGAGTTTCTATAAAAATTATATTTTCCTCACCTCACTTCAAAGTGGAAACGCGGAGGGTCAGTTCAGGTCTTTCCTGCTGGCCCCCACCTCAAGGCAGCTGATTTCAAACAAGAAGAATATACTGCTTCGCGAAAAAACAGAGTCGTGTGGAGTTGCTCCCGCCTCTAGCCCGCAGTCGTTTCCTCTTTCACAGAAACAGACTCTTTTCTGTTTCTCTTTGTTTCATTGACTTTGTGAATGAAAGAAAGGAGGGGGGAATTCCCTGGGCTTGCTGGGACACGCCCAACCAATCAAGGCTCAACTTGTCCCTCAACCCGATTGGAATAAGGCGTGGTTTGAATGCTTTCAGCCAATCAGCTCGAGGTGTTCCAAGATTCATTCAGTGTTGGAACTCTCATTCATAAAAAAAACAAGAGCGCCCAAAGTTCATTCATAAAAGGCTGCCGAGGGAGGGAATGTGTCACGGGTTGTAGATTCGAAGGCTTGGCTTAAATGAATCCGTTTTCTAATTGGCCTGAAACTGGTTATGCAGTTACGTAAGCAAGGGTGTAAGTATAGTTGTTTACTATCCGTTTTTAAGGCCGCCATCGGCACTGGGGGCCAGGAAGGTCTCCAGAGAAAATTAAAGTTGCTAATTTTCATATATACCAATATACCATCCTGTACTGAGTTTGCTTGAACATATCAATAAGTTGGAGGGAGGGAGTTTCCCCCTTCTCCCTCCGAATTTAGAACTCAATTTCTAAATGGAAGAAGTGGAAAATAAAGTTTTTGTAATAGGTTCAAAGGGATTTATGCTTTTTAAAAGATGTATTAAAAAGAACATTATTTATTTTATGAACGTGGAAAAAAGAAATCCCCTATTTGCTTAAAAGATACAGCTGTCTATCTTATAATATTCTGAGCCATACATATTAGCTTGACTCCAGATGTGATTGACTTATCAGTGTTTCAGCTGCATTTCATTAGTTTATGCCAAGGAGTGAGTTCATCATAGACTTGGCCAAGTGCTTGTTTTTGGCCCCACAGTTTTTCTGCAGGGTAAGGACAGGCACAGTAATTGTCTGCCCAGAAAGACAATCTCCACCCAGCTTTTCCTGCTGAGTATTTCTGCCTATCCCATACACTGCAATAAAGTGGGCATCTCTAGATCCCTTACCTGGAACAATGCATCTAATAAGACCTAGGAGGTACAAGTAATATTCAACTTATGACCACAGTTGGGACCAGAATTTCTGTTGCTAAGCAAGACAGCTGTTAAGCAAATCACATCTGATTTTATGACTTAGAATACATTTATTGCAGTGGTGGGATTCAAATAATTTAACAACTGGTTCTCTGCCCTAATGACCATCTGGGTAGGTGGGGCTCAGTGGTCATGTGACTGGGTGGGTGTGGCCAACTCAAGGTCACTCGGGTTGATGGGCGCTTCGCCTTAGCTGTTACAATGTAATAAGGGTTAACCAGAGAGGCAATTTCTGTAAGCAGGTCAATAAAGATTAAGCTAGAAACATCTGAATAGTTTCCTTCCTGCCTTCCTTACAGGATTAGCCCTGTAAGGTGGAAAAAAACAAAAGGAGATTTCTTCCAACAATCGGTTCTCTGAACTACTTAGGAAGTTACCAACTGGTTCTCCTGAATAGGTGTGAACTGGCTGAATCCCATCACTGATTTATTGTCACTTTTCATGTATAGTAACCGGCATACACTAAAATGAACAACTCTCAAAGGGTCCCCATCTCCAGGAATATACAATACATAAACACGACCAAATAAATAAATACAAAATTATGCATATAGTATATTATATGACACGGAGAAACAACACAGTCTGGTTTGGATATATAGCGATACATGTCAAGGATCTTGCGAGTTTACCAGATTAGGGAACAAAGCTGTTATAGAATCTGGTATTCCTGCTAGAAATACTTTGACTGTTTTTGCCACGGCTGTTAAGCAAATCACTTCAGTTGTTAGTGAATCCAGCTTTTCCCATTGACTATGTTTATCAGAAGCCAGCTGGAAAGCTCACAAACATCAGTTATGTGACCCCCCCCAAATGCTGCAACTGTTGTAGATGCATACTGGCTGCCAAGCATCCAAATTTTGAATGGGGACGCTGCAGTGGTTTTAAAAGCAAACAAGGACCAGTCATAAGTCACTTTTTCCAGTTCTGTTGAACTTCAAACAGTTGCTAAATGAATGCTTGAGGGCTACCTAAGTCTTGTGACAATATCTCACAAGCATGACCTCTTCTCCTTCCTCCCCCACCCCCACCCCACTACTTAAGATTCAACTGCTCTTGACCCTCTTAGCTTCCAGGAAAGCTTTGGAGACCCTCAGGCACTGGAGTCGGAATGTCACATGAGTTCCCCTTGGGAAGTGGAACACAGGTTGTTATGCCCTGGCTGTGTGATCCTGCATTTGTAATAGCATTTTTGTTGGAACATTGTGGTTTGTTTTTAATAGAGGTATGTTGCCCAATGTGAATTAGGAAGTCATATAAACCTGAAATGAAATAAGTAGATAAATAAATGTGGACTTCTCTGCCTTGCAGCAGCCTGCCTTGTCTAATGGGATTCATGAACGTCTGTCCATCCTAGATGAGTTCAAATCACCTGGAGCAGAGGGATTAGAACCCAGAATTCCAAAGAAGCTGGCAGGCATTTTCAAAAAAGAAATGGACAGAAAACTATAGACCAGTGATGGCTAAACTTTTCCTGTGTGTGAATGTGCGCACGTGCACCCAAACCCCCAAAATGCAATGTGCATGTGCCCCCCCCACGCCCAGGCCCCATGCATGCACATGTGCCCCCCAGGTGTGTGCACCTCTCCACAAGGCCCCGCCCCTGTACATGTGCACACAGCCACCCACACTTCCCTTGCATGCGCAGCAGAGACCCAAAGACCAGCTGGCAGACAGGAGGCACACATGCATACGCAGTAGAGCTGAACTGGGTTGATGGCTTACATGCCCACAGAGAGGGCACTGTGGGCCACCTCTGGTACGTGCCAGAGTTTCGCCATCATGGCTATAGGCCAATCAGCCTGACATCAACACCTGGGAATAGCCTGGAAAAATATAACCAGACAACAGATCTGTGAACCACCTAGAAAGCAAGAAAAGTTATAACCAGAAGCCAACATAGATTTGCCAAAAACAGATGACATGAAGCAAATTTTATTTCATTCTTTGACAAAGTGACTAAATTTAACAAGCGAAATGCTTGTAGTCATAGTACACCTATTTCCCAAAGCACCAGAAGGCAGGAGAAGAAGCAGTGGTTGGGAAATTATCAAGAAGTGAAGCAACCTAGAACTAAGAAATTTCCGGACAATGGGAACAATTAACCAGTGGAACAGTTTGCCTTTAGAAGCTGTGGGTGCTCCATGATTGGAGGTTTTTAAGAAGAGGCTAGACCAGCGATGGCGAACCTTTTTTGGCTCGCGTGCCATACCTGAAGTCTGTTCCCGAACTTCCGGTTTGCCCATAAGGCTGGTTTTTTGTGCTCCAGAGGCTTCAGAAAAGCTCCTGAAGCCTCCGGAGGGCCTCTGGGGGGTGGGGGGGCTATTTTCGTTGTCCCCAGGCTCCTGTAAAGCCTCTGGAGCCTGTGGAGGGCGAAAAATGGCTTTAAAAAAAGCTGAACTCAGCTGGCCAGTGCACACATGCGTGCTGGCCAGCTGACAGGGCAGTGCCTCGCGTGCCCTGACAAATGGCTCCACGTGCCATCTATGGCATGCGTGCCATAGGTTTGCCATCCCGGGGATAGACAAGTCATTTGTCCAGAATAATACAGAGCAGGGGCGTCAAACTCGATTTCATTGCGGTCCGCATCAGGGTTGTGTTTGACTTTGGAAGGGCTGGGGTCGATGTGACCAGCGTGGGTGTGGTCAGCTTGACATCACTCGTGTCAGAGTCTGTGGCAGCCTGAGCACTCTGCCAGCGAAAACAGGCTCCCGAGATCCGTTTTCAGCTGTGACAACCTCCTGCAACCCTCTGCCAGCCAAAATGAAGTTCTGGAGGGCCACATGCAGTCCTCCCAAGCTCCATTTTTGCTGCCAGGGGCACTGCAGGCTGGTCCCATGGGCCAGATCTAAGCACCCTATCAGCTAGATCTGCGCCCTGAGCCTTGAGTTTGACCCCCCTGGTATAGAGTCTCCTGCTTATGCAGCGGGTTGGACAAGAGGTGCTCCAAGATGCCTCCCAAGTCTGTTGTTCTCTTATTTAATTTTAGGCTAGTGTTTTCCTGCAACTAACTAATAGATGAAGAGGCAATGATGGCTCCCCTTGTTCTGATCAGTAATTGCCTTCCAAGACCATTTCAACCTGAGCTCCTCAGCTACATTTATCCACCCACTTTCTCCCAACATACCTCATCATACTGCAAGGAAGCACGGCTGCTCACGGAAGAGCTACAACCAGTAGCCCTATGGTGGAACTGGCAAGGATGGCAATGCTTTGAACACATAGTGGGCCACTACGGAATTTGGCACTAAAGCGACCCATGTCACTCTGGGAGTGGGGCGTAATCTTACGAGCAGAGGGGATGATCATGTACATCAGATGATCATTTGTTTTCTTTGGCAGGACACATCATAGGAAGTAGCAGCAGTAGTGAAATTCATTTTTTTAAAAATACTGGTTCTGTGGGCGTGGCTTGGTGGGTGTGGCAGGGGAAGGATACTGCAAAATCCCCACTCCCGGAGGAAGGATATTGCAAAATCTCTATTCCCACCCCTCTCTGGGACCAGCCACAGGTAGTATTTGCCGATTCTCTGGACTACTCAAAATTTCCGCTACCGGTTCTTCAGAACCTGCTGAATTTCACCCCTGGGTAGGAACCTAGACTACTCTGAGCAGACCCAAAAATGAAGATGGAATAAAAATAAAATAAGCAAATGAACCTACCCCATGTGGGACAGAATAAGATTCAACAAAAATATGCTGGCATAACAGACAAATATTTTGTTTTGAAGGCTTCCATTCACAAAATGTTTCTGCAGAAATCCAGGTGGTTTTGGTAGAAGGTAGAAAGGCAAGAGAAGCAACATTAATTTTACCATCTAATAACCAGCCAGATTTTTTCAGCCTGATTAGAATATCCTCTATAAATACAGGTAGCCCTCGGTTATTGATACTGGAATTTCTATTTCTA